TTTAAACTCCATAAAATAAAGAATGGTTTGGCAGAATTTTTATCCTCAAGGAAGATGGTAAACCTTTTTACTTTTCAGTGAAAGTAATTTAATATGTTACATCTTGTATTTATCTGTTTATATATCAGTAAAAGCTTATTCTTCCTTTTAACTGAAGTTGTAAGACAGGAAAGCACACAACTGAGAAACCAGTGCTTGCTGCACGTCCTAAGCATTCAGCTCCAACTCCTGCAACCAATCCATTGTCCAAGCACTCCTGTTTGAGGTGTCAACAAGGATTTTTCTGTTCTGATCATGGTATACCTTTTCAATTCTAGTTTTAAGTTTTTGAGTTACTGAGGTTAAATTATTTTGGTTAAGAATTTGTTGCTACAATGACATTTGAGAAAGTGAGTACGATCCAGTTAAACAGATAATGTGAAATCCACGTGTGGTTTCAAGCTGCCATTACGTTTTAGTCCTATCGTGGTGAATATTCTTATTGGAGCCTTAACTTGAATCCTGATGTTGTTTATGGCCTTTTCTTCCTTTTCAGGTTCACAAACGAGTGAATTGAATCCAACAGCTTCTAATACTGCGATAGGAGCACCTTCTGAAAGTAATCCAGATTCCCTGGACACCCAACCACCCCCAGCAAAGAAGATAGTCGATATAAACCAGCCTCAAACTTGTAGAAATAAGGGATGTGGTAAAACTTTTAAAGAGAAGGATAATCATGACACTGCGTGCAGTTATCATCCTGGCCCGGCTATTTTCCACGACCGAGTTCGAGGGGTGAGAATATACACATCTTCTATTGTTTTTCTTTAATACAGTTTCTTCATTACTTTGTTTCTTCTCATCGGCCGAAGTTCATGCTTCTTTTTCCTCCCTTGTTAAAATTGCAGTGGAAATGCTGTGACGTTCATGTTAAAGAATTCGAGGAGTTCATGAACATACCACCGTGCACCAAGGGATGGCACAATGCCGATCCAGTATCTTAACACTTCTTTTTGTTTTGTTTTTTTGCCTCATCAAGTAGAATGATTTGATGTAATGGGATATTTTCCTGCACTTTGTGATTATTATCCTTCCTCAACGATTTAACTTCATCTGTGTTGAGGCTTGAGAATGTGAAACTCAAGGCTCTTGTTTCAATTTCTGACTTTTACTGAATCAGTCGATCTCATATACGTTGCTAGAGGTCTTTCTTGCTGTGTGCATCTTATATGTTGGGTAGGGAAAAACGTAGAGAAAAGTTTT